AAAATCACACAAAGAGCAATGACTGTCGCTGCAAGGACACAACAACTATACAATAGTTAATAACAAATATTTTGACAAAAGACTTGTCAATTTATAGAAATTCTTTGAAAATCAACTCTGAAGCAATTCCAACAGATTCAACAGTTGACCACGGACAAAAAAATCAAGAGGAAGAAAAACATAGTAAAAGAAAGAGACTAAAAAAACTTAATTGATAAAATGATCGGTGGATGTCAACAATGTTGACCGGGAGAAGAGAATAGGCCTGTGTGCTTTGTAGCAAGAAGAAGAACGAAGGAGAAGATGAAGTAGAAGAGAGGAAGAGAGAGAAAAGATAGCTTATCAGTTGGTAGAGAAGTGCAGAAGAAAATAGGAAAATGAAGAGGCAAATTAGGTGGAGTTTGTTCATAGAGCTTTATTTAACAATTTTGTTTATATATTTAATGCATCTAATGATGTCAATAATTAATGTTGGAATAGCAAACGTTCAAACAGTTATAGAGTAGCTTTAGTGCCTGAAAACTGTTGAGATGATTTTCGGGTTACATTCATAACATGATCTAAAGTTCACTTTATAACTTTATGCCAAGGAAGATTGGTTAAGGAATTAATTTTTTTTTATTAAGATTATTGTACTCAATCAAAATCAGATTTTGATTATATTTATAATATTTATGAAGAAGATAATCAAAAGACAAATAATGAATTTATTAGTTGAATTAATGCATTATAGTTGAATTTATATGAGAACTCTTAAAACAAGGATAAAGTAGACATTATAAAATTATTAAAGGGCAAATAAGGAATTAAAAGTTTTTCTCCTTAAGCCACTTTTAGAAGTAGTATATAGATATAGATATAGATAGATATAGATTTATAAAGAAGATAATCAAAAGGCAAACAATGAATTTATTAGTTGAATTAATGCAACTAATAAATATATGAGAGCTCTTCAAACAAGGATAAAGTAGACATTATAGAATTATTAATGGGCAAATAAGGAAATTAAAAGTTTTTCTTTTAAGCCACTTTTACGATTTTGGGTGATTTGTAAAACAAAGAAAAAATAGAATCTAGGAAGAAAACCCACTTCGAGGAGGGTAAAAACCTCCAATGGCTCAATTCGAGAAGAATTGAATCTTCAAAACTTTCACATGAAAGTTCAATACAATATTCAACCTCTTCATTCATTGACAGGAAGACTTTTAAATACAAGATAATAAAACTACCTTAATAACGAACTTGACTCATGATAGATAGATATAGATAAATAATGAATTTATTAGTTGAATTAATGCAACTAATAAATATATGAGAACTCTTAAAACAAGGATAAAGTAGACATTATAGAATTATTAAAGGGCAAATAAGGAATTAAAAGTTTTTCTTTTTAAGCCACTTTTAGAAGTAGTATAGATATAGATATAAATATAGATAGATAGATATAGATTTATAACGAAGATAATCAAAAGACAAACAATGAATTTATTAGTTGAATTAATGCAACTAATAAATATATTAGAGCTCTTGAAACAAGGATAAAGTAGACATTATAGAATTATTAATGGGCAAATAAGAAAATTAAAAGTTTTTCTCTTTAAGTCACTTTTAGAAGTAGTATAGATATAGATAGATAGATATAGATTTATAAAGAAGATAATCAAAAGGCAAACAATGAATTTATTAGTTGAATTAATACAACTAATAAATATATGAGAGCTCTTGAAACAAGGATAAAGTAGACATTATAGAATTATTAATGGACAAATAAGGAAATTAAAATTTTTCTCTTTAAGCCACTTTTATAAGTAATATATATATAGATATAGATAGATATAAATATATATATGCATTGGTAGGCATGCATGTGAGCTAACTAGTCACCATCTATCACCATTTATCTTTTTTTTTTTTTGTTCCTCTCTCCAAAGGGAACTTATGATCATAAATAAGGGTGACACATGGCAAAATAATATCAAAATAATTGACTATTGTATTGTGCTAGAGGTATAGTTTGTATACATCCGAACAATATATGGAACATTGACGGCAAACATTAGGGCGGACAATAGAATGAGTTACGTACGTTTCATATGTTTTGTAAGTCGTTTTTGTGTCAAAATATGTTCAACACAATTTATTAATTTATGGTCAAGTTGTGTCGTCGGGTACAAAATGTGTAAAGTTAAGTATGTAATGTATGCAAATCTTATATAGATAAACTAGTTATTGTATGTGTCTAAAAGTACAGAATAATAAAAAAATATTTAACAATAAATATATTTTATTTACATCTAAAATCACATCACAAATATAGAAGAGAGATAAAAGAATTTAAACACCGATTATAATGAAAGTGAGCGATGATAATGGTAGTGGGTGGTAGTGGCGATGGCGACGATGACGATAATGGTGGTGGTGGCGGTTGTGGTGATGGTCTTGAGGGGTGACGGTTGGACAATGGCGGTGGTGGTAGGGTGGAGATGATAGTGACGGTGATGGTAGTGGTGGGAGTAGTGGGAATGGTGGTGGTCGGGCGGTAGGGGTGGTGGTGGTGGTCGTGGGGTGGCGGAAGTAGTAATGACAACGGTGATGATAATAGGGGCAGTGATGGTAGTGCTGGTTGTTGTGGCAGAAGTGGTGGGGTGGCGGCAACGATGGTAGGAAAGTGGCGGTGGTGATGGTAAGGGTGATATGGTCATGACAACGATGATGGTGGTAAAGGGCGAGGGGTGATGGTGAGGGGATGGGTGGGGTGGGGTGGCGGTAATGGTAATGGTGGTGGGGGTGGTGTTGGTAGTGGTGATGGTGGTGGGGCAATAGGGGTGATGGTGGTAGTGGTGGTGATGGGGTGGTTTCAAACACTATTTTTTTAAAGTAGTTATGAAAAATGTTAAGTATTAAAATCACTTAAAAAAAATCACCTCAAACACACCCTTAGGAGTTTATTTTTCTTATTAAATTTGGAGTGTTAATATTAGCCGTTAGATTAACTTTAAAATAAAATTAAAAGATATCTCAATCGCGAATAGCAAAAATATTTTTTTTTATCTTTTGAGATTTGAATTTTATTGTATTTTATTATATAAATATATCAAATGAATATCCTAAAGGCACGAAGTAATAAAAAAAATGGTCAACATATTTGTATTTACACCTAAAATTAAATTACAAATATAAGAAAAATATAAAGAAATTTAAGCACCAATTGTAGTGGGGGTGAGCGATGGTAGTGGTAGTGGTGATGGTGGGCGATAGTGGTGATGATGGGAGACGGTGATAGTTGGAGTGGGTAAGGCGACGACCATGTGGTGGTAGCAGTCGTGAGTGACAATGGTAATGGTGGTGGTGGGTTTTGAGTGACGATGATGATAGTGGCAGTTGTGAGTGACAACAGTGGTGGTGGTGGCTATGAGTGGTGGGGGATGACAGTGATGGTGGTTTACAGTGGTGATGATGGGACGACGACGGTGGTGGTGGGTAACGATGGGTGCTTCTCGGCGACAGTGTGATGGGTGGTGACGAATGGCAGTGATGGTAAGTGTGGTGGGGGTAGGTGGCAGTGGGTGACTGTAGCGGTGGGCGATGACAGGTGATAGTGGTTGGTGGTGATAGGTGTGATGGGGTAGGTGCTAGTGGCTGGTGGTTATGGGTGGTGGTGGGTGTTGACGGTGGGCGACTGTAATAGTGGGATGATGGTGGCAATGATAATAAATATAAGAATCGATGGGGGTGGCGGTGGGGTAGTGAAGGTGGGGGTGGGGGTGGAGGTGCAGTGGCGATGGTGATGGTAGTTATGATGGTCATGGGGTTGGTGGTGGGACAGTAGCAATGGTGGTAAGGTGCAACATCGGTGATAATGATGGTAGGGTGCGACAATGGTGGTGGTTGGGCGGTGGAAATGATGGTGGTGGTGAGACAGTGGTGGTTGTGATAGTGGTAATGATAATGGTGGGGTGGTGGTAGTGGTGGGTGGTGGTAATGTTGGGTGGTGGTGGGGGTGGGGCAATGAAAATGGTGATAGTGGTGGTAGCAACGATGGTGGTGGTGGTGGGTATGGTAAGGGTGGCGATAGTGATGGTGGTGGTGGTGGTGGTGTTAAAGGTAGTGGTGAGACAGTTTCAAACACTATTTTTTAAAAAAATATTTATGAGAAATAATTCTCAAAAGGAGTTTTCAAAAGTTATTCCAAACACACCTTTAGAGACTTATTTTTCATATTAAATTTAGGGTGTAAATATTAACCATTAGATTAACTCTAAAATAAAATTTAAAGCGATTTTAACCACGAATAACAAAAATTATTTTGTTTATCTTTTAAAATTTAAATTATATTATACTTTATTGTATAGATTCATAATATATGAATCGGGTTCATGTCAATTCGTCTATTTGTATGTCACGTATTGACCAATTTAATTATAATTTATTTTACTACCAAGTAGGGTGGTCTAGTGGGGTATCGGTCTTACTCCTCACCTTGAGGTTAGGAGTTTGAGTCTTGGAGTTCCCATTAGAGCTTGGTGGTTGGCCGCTATGCTAACCTAGCTAAGTCTGGTCCCGAGAAGTGTTCCAGACTCGGTCAGAGACCTCATAATCCCACCGGTGAGGGCTTATCGGGGTGGTCGCTAGATACTCTTCTTTGCCCCACCCCTTATTTATTTATCAAAAAAACAAAAAAAAAATTATAATTTATTTTTGCTAAAACTAAATATATATTCTGTAACTTTTGTCTATTTTGTATCGAATTAACAATTGTAATTGGTAATCCAATCTAACGGGAGTCAATCTTGGCGTCCCCACTGTATAGAGCCATTAAAACAAAATTAAGAATAAAAAATTATAATTAATTAAAAAATATAATTATTTGTTGATTAAATGGAATTTTGGGTACAAAGAAAGAACAAACAAAAGGCGTTACAACTACCAAAGGACACCTATTTTACGCGGGTATACACGCAAGCCTCCAAACAAAACCAAACAGAATAAAATTCAAATTGTCAATCGAAGAGACTTTCCACTACGCCACCACCTAGAATATGTCTCTGCCCACCCCTCTCTCTTTCTTTCTGTCTGCGGTCAGTACTAAAGATTCTAGAACTCAAAAGAGGGAGAAAGTTGGAGAGAGAAAGAGAGAGATTGTTAAGAGTTTCTTAGAGGGTTTTGGCAGTTGTGTTACACCATGAACGAGAAGGCCAGCGTCTCCAAAGAGCTTAGTGCAAAACACAGAAAGGTGTCCCTTTTTATCTCTATGTTTTCAGGGGAAAAATTGAATTTTGATTCACCCACAAAAAAAAAAAAAAAATCTAAATATGGGTTTGGTCTGGGTGTTTTACTGCTTAATTACACATAAACATGATCTTGTATGAATGGTCTGATAAATTTTTTTTTTTTATATAATATTTTTGAGCTGACTCTCTCTCTTATTTGTCTTTTGGTTTGACTAATCTGTATCTTTAGGTGATAAAATCACCATTATTTCCTTCTTCCCCCCCTCCCCTCTGTTGCTGAAACCATGAGTTTCGGTTAAGCATGAATTGATAGCCCTGTATGTATTTGACCACAAACCCTGACTCTGTTCTATAATTATCGGAAGATATGGTATATTTATATACGTTTCAAGTGTATGGCTCTGTGAAGATCATCATAATATTTTTTAATCCATGTAATCATAGTTCTTCTTTGTGTTTGCAGCATATAACTGGCTAAAATGGTTGTCTTTTGAACATTAGATGTTTACTTTTTATTTTAATCATTATTTATGTGGAAAAAAAAATGTTTCTTGCAAGTAGCAAATAGTTCACCAAATTCGCTCTTAAAGAAATTGTTAGTATCTCTACCAACAGTTTGTATTCTTACTAACCAGTCAATTTTAATTAGTTTTTCGAGAGTCGCGACTATAATGTTAGTTGTATATGGTTTACCCACTTTTTAAGAAATAAATGGAAAGAAAAAAAAAGAATTGGGTATCATCCAAAAGTCTAAGTGTTTATATCTGTATTGATTTCATATTGTAGCTGTCAAGGTGTTTGGTGATGTCTACATGCTTGGTATCGGGACCCATCTTGTGAGTTGTAGCTAATATTGAGCCTATTGGTAGCAATACCAATATTCTGTGCTTACATCCCTATAGAACAACATATTTTATGAGATAGGTTGCGGTTCTGTGTAGTATACATTCATATAAGGGTTAAACAGAACCTTGGAAAAATGCATCAAAGGTTTATGATGGAGGATGAATTCTTGTTGCAAATCAAACAAAAGTTAGGCATTGAGTTGCACAAATGGATGGCTTAGTTCATGTTGTTGGATATATTCTTGAAGTAATAGACTTGGTTGTGGTTTCCTATTTCCTCTATGGAGTATGACAGTTTATGGGTAGAAATTTAGTAACCCTATGTCTACCTAAGATTCTCACAGTTTCCTTTACTTAGGGTGGGGTTTGTTGTATGATTGAAATATAAATATTGCTGTCTGGTGTCCTTTTCTACAGATACTTGAAGGCATTCTTAAATTATCAGAAAACAGGGAATGTGCTGACTGCAAAAGCAAGTAGGTAACTCGGAGTAATAATGGTCCATGTTTACTTAGTTGACGAACAATATGCATCTTTTGTATATTGAAGATATGAATGAAACAGAGATGTTGATCTTTGTAACATGCTAGAATGCTCTAATACAACTTTTTTGCTATGCAGAGGCCCAAGATGGGCTAGCGTGAATCTGGGAATCTTCATATGCATGCAATGTTCTGGGATTCACAGAAGTCTTGGAGTACACATATCAAAGGTTTGTGTTTCTGTATGTGCATTATATTTGTCTGTGTTTTGGTTCCTAAACATGCCTATACAAATTCCCTGTAATTTTGATGCAGGTGAGATCTGCAACGTTGGACACATGGCTTCCAGACCAGGTTGCATTTATTAAATGTGAGCTCCTCTTATACTTTATAATTGATGCTAAATCAGTTTTAAGATAAATAAATCAAGTTCTTCGAGTCAGTTTAATTTGTGCTTGCTTGCTGCAGCAATGGGAAATGAGAAATCAAATAGCTATTGGGAAGCGGAGCTGCCCCCTAAGTATGATAGGGTTGGAATTGAAAATTTTATTCGTGCAAAGTACGATATCGTTGATTGATTGGTACCAACTAGCACAATATATACTTGATTCAGCCTTCATTTTCTTCCATTGTTCTGGTCTTAAGTCACGCCTTTATTACTTATTAATGTGAATATGTTAGGTATGTAGAGAAGAGATGGACTCCTAGAGATCAAAAAGCAAATTCAGCCAAAGGGGTTAGAGAAGAGAGGGTTGTAGTATATAAACCGGGACCTGGGACTAGAATTGGTGTTGCATCTGCAAATGGTTCAAACCATATCTCTGGAGAGAGGAAAAACCCTGAGCTGCGTGACACAAACAGAAGTATCCCTACTTTAGAAAAATGCAATATCCCGGTGCCTTCTGAATTATCTAAGCAGGTAAATATTATTTATTTGTCTAGTATTCTCAACTCCATCATGAAAGAACATAACAACTGTTGTGAAAGAGTCTCTAGGATTAAGATGTTGATATGATGCTTGGATTAGCATTGTGATGTACGCTTGTTCCGCTTTGACTGTTTGTTTTCATTCTGTATCATATTGTATGATTCTCATTTTATATTTAACCTTTGCTCTGGCTTCCTTTTCTGAAAGTCTCAGAAAAGTACACCGATGTTGGGAACCTACTGACATGTTGGACTTGGCAAATAGGTCGCTCCTGATCCAAAACTACAAGGAGTTTGTCAGAAATCAGAACCAGCAGCCTCAAAGGCTGCATTAGGAAGGAGGGCTGGAGCTAATGCAAGCACAGCTGTCTCGGCATCTGAGGTCGATTATGCTATTCATCTTTTTAACATGCATTTTTTTTTTTGGAAGTCTCGGGAAAGAATACTGACATCGGACAGCTACTAACATGTTGGACATAACAAACAGGTAAGTCCCAATAAAAAGCCACACGAAATTCATCGGAAATTAGAACCAGCAGCCTCAGAGGCTTCACTAGGAAGGACCGAAGCTAATGCCAGGGCACCTGTCACAGCATCTAACATTGATTATGCTACAGATCTTTTTACCATGTTTTCGAAAGAAGGCTCAAAAGAAAACAACTCCAGAACAACATTTAGTGCTGATGATAATGCATCGGCAGGATTCCAGTGTATGTTCACTTCCCTGGTAGTTTCATTGAAGTGACTGAGCACCTATCTGCTACTGTTATACCCTTATTTGGTCTTATAACCTCTTTATACTCCCATAACAGCTTGAGTAAAGTTGTGATGGTGGTATTACTCCGTGATTACATTGATTTGATCTTTCACAACTTGCAGCTGCTGAAGTAACATCAACAGCAGAGAAATATGTTCCTTCAAAAGCTGTTGAAAGAAAGATCCAATTTGACTCTGGAATTGAGGATCTAATCAAAGATTTTCAATTTGTAACACACCCTGTTTTGAAAGATGTGAAGAATGACCTTATGGACCTCTTTGATAAGGTATATTCCACAATATCATTCTAGGGAAGTTGAAAAATTTTCACTGAAGGATCTTTTGGCAGAAAAGGGATTGTTTTCAACATTACAAAGGATTGAATAAAAACTGTCACTTAACCATTATTCAGTCTTCAAATGAAAGCTCCTCTTAATAACAACCTCATGGTTAGGAGTGTCTGGTGAAACTTCATGGCAAGAATACATTGCAATGTGTTCCTCATTTTTTTTCGTTCTCAATTTGTGCAGACCAGTATGGTGTCACAATTTTCTCTCCATCAACAACAATCTGCAGTGCTAGCTCAACAACAGCCTTTTCTCACGTCTGCAGCAGCGAAGCCTTTTGGTGGGTTCCAACCATTTTCTAGTAATATACATCAACCAGCCTCCAACGGTAGCCACTTACCCACTCAGCATTGGGGAAGCATGGGTAATCAGGCTCCTCAAGCGATGACGCCAGCAGCTGCACTGCAGAAGCCTATGCAGGTTTTGCTCATAAAACACTTACATTCGCATGTTCGATTGTCGAAAATTTCATCTCTTATATTGTTACTATCTTCTTGTGCCAGATGGGAAACATCAGATCTGCACATCCTGCTTGGAATTCTTCTCATTATTCACTATCCAGGTATAGCATATTGTTGATCTCAGCCTGAATTTACTTCCTAACAATTTTTCATTAGTGTAGTTGATAGGGGATGCAACTAATCTAGCTCATGAAATATATAACATTCTTGATCCTTCCTTTTACTGTTCTTCTAGGCTGGAATAAAAAATGGGTTGTCTCCTCTTTAATGATCTTTTCTATAGGTTACTGTGAGCGATCTAAATTTTGACCCTTATTTTTTCCTTTTTGGATGATTGTAGAAGATGCTTAATCTATTTATGGAATTTGACCCTCATTTAGGGGAAGAAATGAAAAGGAGGAGGTTCCAAACAGTGTTATGGAACTGAGCCAAATAGATTGGAGTTAGTGTGGTGTTTAACAATTTTAGAAAATTAAAATTCTGAATGAGCCATTGATCCTGGTTTCGTTAAGTCCAAAGCCATAGATTGTCACAACAAAAGCTTGATTCAAGTCGTCAGCAAAAAAAACTGCAGTCTGTTCCAAAAACAAAAGCATGGCATTCCTTTTGAACTGGATATACTGGTTTTCTGCGGCAACCATCATTCAACTTAAGTAATATAATGCGAGGAGCTAGGTAAATGTTGGTAGAACATGTTTGCTAGTCACTAATTGTTGGAGTGATGATTTGAAAAATAATCAGGTCCCAATCTCATAACGTCTAAGTTGGTTATCCTTGACAACATCAGCAGATTGAATCTAGTGGACATGGGGGAAAAACAAGAAGAAGAAGAACATCCACTGAGTCTCTTGGTGCATATACTACAATTTGACGTATGTTAGGACTTAGGCATATTGGCATCAATTATATATGCGCCTTATATTGTTGCCATATCGTTTCTTTTGCAGCAAGAATACTTCAGGTTCAGTTGCTCCAATAGGCGGTGGCATAACCACCACAAGAGCAAGTAGGTCTTCCAATATTATGCCGACATCATCAGCCATTCCAACACACTTGGGAGGAGATTATGATTTCTCATCGCTAATGCAAGGGATGTTTACAAAAAGGTGAGTGTGTGTTTGAATCATGGGTGAACAGACGATAGTTTTTCATTCATAAATAGCATTAGTAGTAGTAAATGTACTCAAAATATTGATTTTTGATTGTTTCATTTGTATCAGTACATAAGCGAATGCAATAAAATTCAGTACATTCAGTTTCGTTTGATTTTGGTGTTCAGCACAGACCAAACTTCTTGTCAGTGAGTGAGAATTTCACCACAAATAGACCATTTCTATGCCACTCGTTAGCGAGAATTTTTGACAAAGCCACACCCATTTCAAATTTTCAAACCAAGTCTTTGTAAAACTCTTAGAACTGCTCACAACCGATGATGTATGAATAGATGATGATGGTTTTTCATTCAAAAATCGCAGAAATTATACAATCAAAGGGTAATACCAATAGTAAAGACATGGGCAGCCACTGATACAACCGATGATGTGTGAGTAGACGATGATGGTTTTTCATTCAAAAATTGTTGAAATTATATAATCAAAGGGTAATACCAAAGCTAAAGACATGATCAGCCACTTAAACAACCGATGATACCAATGATGTGTGAATAGATGATGATGGTTTTTCATTCAAAAATCGTAGAAATTATACAATCAAAGGGTAATAATACTAACGCCAAAGACATGACTAGTCACTTAAACAACCGATAATGTGTGAATAGATGATGATAGTTTTTCATTCAAAAATCGTAGAAATTGTATGCGTAATTAAATCTAGTGTTTCAAGGGGGCTCTACCCTCTGTTTGGTTTTTTTTATAACATTTTTTTGGTGATTGTTTCATTTCTATTTGTGCGTGCAGAATCTTGCACAATATAAACACGAGAACAGATCTCTCCCGTAGTGAACTCAAGTCAATCAATCAAATGGTCAACCTTGCTACTTGGAACAGACTGTGAGGTCCGTTGGTGGCCTGGAAAGGTAATGGGTGACTTTCGTGGATCAACGGAGCGGTCCTGTAAGGCTCAGGGAGGTTCCTGGAACGAAGAAAAATGAGTTAGGAGGGCGTCAGAGTGTTTTTCGACGTATCCCCTCCGACGATCAAGTCACTTCTTTGAGAGAGGGGAAGGAGAAAACATTGTATTTGTTTGAGAAAGAGGTTTCTTGTTACATACCGTCTTGCCTTTTGTGAAAAGTATTTATACCTCAAAAACTCATGATTGCTGTCAGTATAGTCAGTAGGTGATCATTAGATACGGGTAACATGCGCACTGATTCCTATGAGGAATGTCTTCTCTCTTAACTGTTCGGGACCCCGAGCAACCAATACTGCGTCATCGGCCTGCCGAATGTTTAATGAGCTTCTTTCGGCAAGGATGTAATAAATGTCCAGTCATAGGGACATTTATTACCTTTCACTTTCGAGCTTTTACTGCATTAAATGATGTCTCATCAAGGGAATGGTGCACTAAATGCTTGCTTTCCCAAGTCGTGTGTCAGTAAGGGCATTTCGGTCTTTTTGTCTCTGATCTGACATAATATGTCACGCGCCCATTCCCCATTGGTTGTATCTTTGCCTTCTTGTGCCTTCTGACACCAATTGTGTAAGACGAGGTCATGATGGCTAACCTAGCCTAGCCTAGGCTAGTGACCTGTACATCAATAGCCTCTGTAGGAGTAGAGAACGCCATCTTGGACGGGTACATCTTGGTACCGAGGGGAGTGGTACATGTAGGGACCGATGTACCCCATATCCGATCGGGGATACGTGTCGGTATGTGACGTACTGGGTGTCATTGATCTCTATAAATGAGTACCTCGGGAGAAGAGGGACTTGTGAACCGACGGGTACGTGTCGTGATTACAGTAACAAGAATTTATTGATGCCGAGGATACGTGTCTTCATCTTGGAGTATTTGGAAATGTCCCATCAACTGTCCCCCAACCTTCGATCTCCTGACACCGAGGACACGCGTCGTAAGGAGACGAAGGGTTCTGCAACTACCCCAACTACATCATTGCTTCTAGCCGCTTTTCCCTGTTTAGGAAGTCATGCGCATTAAATGCTCCTCTTCATGCTTCGTGCCCAAATGATGGGGATGGGTACTATATAAACGGGCTTCCTCTCTCCCTTTCTCATTTCGCCATTTCGAACTTCTTCAAAGAGCCCTTGCCTGAAACCTCGCCGGAGATCCCTTTCCTTTCGTTGTCTACTGCCCAATCTTTCATCAGAGTCTCAAGGCCAGCAGACCCATCATTGTTTCTGAACATCCTAGGGGAAGGAATCACTTCAAGTTTTCAAGAAAAACTTCCGTTTATATTCCGGTGAGTCCTTTTATCTTCCCTCTCGTCGTCCTTCTGTCTCTTCTTTTCTTCTTATCGTTGTTTTTATTTTTTTTTTATTTTTCGATAATCGGAGGTGTTTCTGGTTGCCATTGTGACCAACCCTCGGGAAGCCTCCTCGGGGATCTTTGTGAAAAAACCCCTCCCTTCTTCCTCAATTTTCATCATTTTTGGAGATGTCCCGACATCGCCCTGCCCCTGAGAATCCTCAGGCTAGTTCCTCGAGGCCAGGGAAGTACAAAGTGAAGGGGGCGAGCAGATTAATAGGTTTAGGGTCCAGTATCGCATCCCCCTATATGTAGACATAGAGGATTATAACTCGACTGTGCATTCCCGTACCCTCGGGGCTGAGGATGAGATGCCCTTTTATACCAAAGCCATCATAGAGGGCGAAATTAGGTTCCCTCTATCCCCTCTACTCCTCCAGTTCCTCTCCCATTTTCACCTCTTTCCCGGACAGTGTTGCCTTAATGTCTTCAGGATAATTATGGGAGTCTTAGAGCTCAACAAGCGTCTCGGGGTAAACGTTGGGCTGAACGATATCCTCTTTTGTTACTCCTTCTTGAGGGTCATGCCTCAACAAAACTTCTACCTCAAAGCCAGAGACCCATTCATGTACCTCGTAACTCACATTCCCGAGTGTTTATTATGCCCTTTGGAATGGAGAACGACAAGTTCGTCGGCTTCTTCGGGTCTATTATTTTGTTCTTGAGATTTTTTAGAAGTGTTCATAACTCTCTCCCCTCTCTTTTTATTTGTGTGCAGACGTCTCCGCTCGGGAAACAGCTTCTCCACTTCGGTCCTTGGTAAACTTTACCGACCTCGTCACTGTTTGGAGATTTGTTGGCGACGATGGGTTCAGTCAGGCTGCTCACATTCTTCTGAACTACACTCCCGGATATAAAAAGTTCTCACAGCTCCCCCAACCTTTCGAGCCTTCGCGGTGGTCTGAACTCTTCGATCAGGCTGCGCAACAAGAGGTCGAGGAGAATTTGGAGGAGGACCGCGACCGGGCTATAGAGGCTAAAGTAGAGGGTGCTGTTGAAGTTGAGGAGTTCGGGGCCAGGGAGGCTTTTGTTCCTTCATACGTTGAAGTGGGGACTTTGGGGAGAGATTCGTGGCCTGACTTCCAAATCCTGCAGTCCCTAGACGAGGAGGACGCCCTCGAGATAGCCATGTCGAACACGCCTCGCATAGATCTGGGGTTCCTGAGGCAGAGGCAGACCCTCGCTGTCGGGAGGTGACGAGGATCAACCAGCGGGACCCCATCTACAGGGACAAGTGTCGCCCCCCCCCTTCAAGAGCCATTGGTCGGGGTCAAGTGTGTGACCGAGATCCTCAGGTAGAGGAGGAGAGGAGGGTCAAACAAAGGCACGACAGCTTTGCCAGGGGATCCAGGGCCCCTTCCGGTCAGCAACAAAGTGGGAAAGGCTGTGGATTACCTCCTCAGCAGCAACAGCAACAACAGAGGCAACAACAACAGCAACAACAACGGCAGGACTCCACCTCCCCCTCCACAGACGGTGGAAGCCGCAGAGTGAAACCCTCGGGCCACTGATGCCAACGCAGTGAGTGAAAACGCTGCACTTCGAGGCCGACATGGTGGCTCACAGAGGGTGATCAACGAATGCGTTGTTTTGTTCTATCATTCAGAATTCTCTGGTGGTAAGTTCATCATCGCTTCAGTCTTTGCTACTCGTGTTACTTTTTATTGACAAACCCTTTTTTTTGCAGGCCACCCAACAGATTTTCATAATCGCTGCGCGGTATCATATATCTAGGATGGACCTCCAGCGGATTCAACAACAGAAGGAAGAGGCCGAGGGAGCCCTGGCCAGTGCCAAGGAGGATGTAGCTGCCAGGGATTTCACTCTCGCGGGACAGGCTGCTCAGATTGAGCAACTTCTCAAGGACGACAAATTGGCGAAGGTCGGCATTGAAAAGCTAAGTGCTGCCTTGGCTGACGCTGATAGGAGGATTACGGAACAGACACAGCGGCTCTCTGTGGCAGAGGAAAGGGCTCTTGGTTCAGAGGAAAGCTGTCTGGCTCTGACCTAGGAGCTGGACAGGATCAGGGCTGAGGCACAGAATAGGAAGTCCGAGGAACAACTCCGAGAGGAGTTCGCCGACGACGTGCTCCCTACTCTTGAGGAAAATAACAAGGAGTTCTTCAAGAAGGGGTGGGACGAGGTGCTCCGGTCTGCTGGGATCCCTCCAGACTCTCCACTCTTTCAGATGCACAAATACGTGTCATCGGCGGAGATGGAACAGGCCGAGGCCGAGATTGCTGCCGAGGGTGCGACTCCAACGCCGATGCAAGTTTCGGTAGATCTGTCCGAGGCGGTAATTTTGGATTTATCTGACGAGGTTCCGCTGGACCAAGCCCCTGACTATAATATCCCGCAGACTCTCCCTGTTGCTGAATCACTCCCAGCTCTGCCTGCTCCCGAAGCTGCTCAACCCTTTTGCACTGATTCGCCCTGCAGTGATGTGTTGGAGATACCTGGGGCCAGATGAAGAGAGTTTTTTTTTTTTTTTGAAATGTACTCCTTTTCTTCTTTTTGTAGCTCTTGGGGACGCAAAGCCCTTCCCTTGAAATGAAGCTTTTTTACTTGCTCTTGCATTTTCTTGCGTGCATCCTCTTTTTTTTTTTTTTTAACGACCTTGATATCCCCTACACCTGGGGAGTTATTCTGTCAGTCCGCCCGATTGGTTTAGCTTCATCATTGCTAGGGACCGTACGCATCCGCGGGGGCTTGCCCATCGTGAAAGTTTATTCGTACTCTTTATTTCGAGGCACGAGTCTTTGAACTCTACATCGAGGGCCTTACCCTCCTAGGGGGTTTGCCCCAATTTTTCCTTCGGGGGCAGGAGGTCTTGAACTCTGTCCCCAGGGTCTTACCCTTTCAGGAGGCTTGCTCCTTATTTTCCTTCGGGGGCAGGAGTCCTTGAACTCTGTCCCTAGGGCCTTACCCTTTCAGGAGGCTTGCTCCTTATTTTCCTTCGGGGGCAGGAGTCCTTGAACTCTGTCCCCAGGGACTTACCCTTGCAGGAGGCTTGCTCCTATTTTTTTCTTCGGGGGCAGGAGTCCTTGAACTCTGTCCCCAGGGCCATACCCTTACAGGAGGCTTGCTCCTCTTTTTTTCTTCAGGGGGCAAGAGTCCTTGAACTCTGTCCCCAGGGCCTTACCCTTGTAACTTAGCCGTTGGTGAGCATTGAAGAAAATAATACTCAAAAATAGTATTTCTTTAGATTTATCACATTCTAAGGTCGTATTACATATTTCCCTTCCATATCTTCTAATCTATATGACCCGGAGCCTCCGATAGATACCACTTTGTAGGGTCCTTCCCAGTCAGGTCTCATTTTTTCTACTGCTGAGTCACGGGTATTGGCCGTTATCCTTCTAAGGACCAGATTGCCGATTTGGAACTCTCGCGCCTTGACCCTTTTGTTGTGAAGTTGAAAAATCTTTTCCTGATACTTGGCTACTCTCAAGGCGGTTATCTCTCTTCTTTCCTCTGCTAGATCCAAATCCAGTCCGAGTTGTCGGTCGTTTCCTCCTGTGTCGAAGGCCTGCGTCCTTATGGTTGGAAGCCCTACTTCCAGAGGTATGATCACTTCCATTCCGTAAGCCAGGGAGTAAGGGGTTTCTCCCGTCGAGTACCGAGGGGTGGTTCTATACGCCCATAAAATGTTCAACAGCTCGTCCGCCCATTTTTCCTTAGCTTTCTCCAATCTCTTTTTGATCCCATT